CTTTTTGAGTCGAAAAACGGAAGCGAGAAAATCTGTGAACTCCGAGAGAAAGAAGGCTTTGCGATACATAGTAGAGAAAACAAAAGTTGCAAGAGATTGTCACGACGGGAAATGCGGACGAGATTTCAGTTGTTACAAATATGCAAAGAGCTGACTTCATCAGGCCAAAACTGTACAAAATGTCCAAAACGGTATTCCACTGACGCCATGGATCATAACAAGTTATTTGAACTTCCTACATGGGTTTCTTCGTGATTGATGCAGGCTCTAAAACACCGTTGAAGCTCGTCCGCTATGGGTGCGGCCTTGAACTAGTACAGTCTCTGAGCCCTTATAAAGCCCTATCAAGGCCGTTTTCTGATCTGACAGCACGACATGTGGTGGATAAGAGAGCCACAGATTTATCCCGTGGTGACATCTGAGAAGCCATTTTTATCGTGAACTGTGCCTTCATGTAAGCAGTATTCCAGAAACGCCGTCGAAATGAAATCCGGGCGACCACACAAAACGATCCTACCTGACTACCACAGGGAAGAATAGAACGAATGCAACTTATTACATCATTCAAAAAAGCCTTAGAATTGCCTCTTTTGCTATACAACGATTTTCCTCCCTGCCAGTGCTAGACCTCACTCGAGTTTGACCATAGAACATACACTTCCTGAACTGGAATCAGAAGTTCTGCCTCATCAACACGCTCCCATACCTAGTTCCGAGTGAGAATCACCTTTCTTTTAGTCCAAGCAGCTCAATTGGTAGTTTCACACTCACCTATTTCATTTCATTTCACATCTTCGGGGAATTCAAAAAACTAGTTCGTTCAAAGGGTTAACAGGAAAGAAAACAATTTTTCGTCACAAATTCTTAAATAAATTTCTCAAGTTGTCCGTTCCAAATGACTAATTGTAAGTATTCTCTGCCCAGTCGCTAACTTATCTTTCGCTTACTACAAATTAAGAATAATCTTCATGTGGGTCAGCAAATTCCCATGACACAGTACTAATTGAGGTGAGATCCAACAAAATTGCTACCTAACAAAGATTTGTTTTAGCACTTCAAATGCATACATAACCTATCTAAGCCTATAATTATAAAAAAAAAGAAAAGAGCTAAAAACAAAGGTGAACTGCAGCCCTCAGACCGACTTCTCCTCCCATCTCCTTCCAATAGGTCCTACAAAGCTACCTCGAACATGAGAGGGTGAAGTTTTTGGAATTGATCATCACTACATTCGGCTTCAATCCAACCAGAATCGTATTGTCGTTTGAATGAGAGCTTGTCCCATACCGAGCTTGGGCTGAGCCCTTGTCTCGGTGAACTGCCCATGAGTGCTTTTCTCTCGCTCCCTCTTTCTCCTCATTACTATGTACCTCAGATACTTTGAGCAGGAACCGTAAGAAACCAAATTAGGATTACATGAGATAAAAGCTTTCCCCATGCTCTTCAAGTGTTGAAATAGAGTAAATTTAGAGCTAAAACTTCAGGGTTGCCAATTCGCTTCCTTTCCATGCTGTCATGGCTGGTTCTAGACGGCCGACGGACGGAACACAATCGCATAATCATCGTGGTGGGTCCGCAACTTGCACTGACACCAAGATCGGAAATATTGATTGATTGCGGCTGATCCAAACAACTTTTGAACATGGTAACCGATCAAAAGTTAATCGATCATTCTTCGCTCGAATTGTCCTGACTGCCAAGCGCAAAGACTCGTTTGGCACTGGGCACGAGCTGATGACAAACCGACTGGTCTGGGCCGTATGGCCTCCCAAACTATCGATCGCCTCATTGAAGGAACAACAAACAACCGAACACCCGAAGGAACTCGAAAATAGTTCAAGTACTTGAAATCAAATGAAAAAAAAGATTAGACACACCACTTTTTCGGTTCTCATTGGGCGAGTGGCGCACAATAATTGTCTCCAAGGTCTCTGAACAGTGCCTCCAAGGGAATTTATCACCGCCACTAGAGTGTAGCCTTATCAGCGATACCTTGTAGTTTAACCGCTTGGGTTTAGTATTGTTCTACGGTTTTGGACAACCGTATCATCGCACGCACTTATCAAAGAGAAAAGGCTTGAAGCCGAGAAATGCTTAACTTTTGGAAATCAAACAGCCCTAATACAAATAACTGACCACCGAGAGTTCAAGAAAAGCACCCGTCGGTGAACTCTTAGCAATCGGTTGCCTTTTTTGTTTACCTAGCTAGAAAAGCCACCAAGGGTTTAGCGCAAAAAAAAACTTCGAGAAAAAGGGTACTTCAAAGACGTCCAGACCAAGGCCCGTACTCGCAGCTACTCACAAGGGAAAAAACGAAATTAGGGCAAAATGAAGGCTAGATTATTCGAAACTTGTGTCTAAAGAATCCGATCTTTCACAACTAACCACAATTCCTCGAGTATGTCGACAAATAAGGAATGATATCAGGAATAAGAAAAGTGAAAACACGAGTAGAACAGAATGATTCAGCAATGACTTTACCTTGAGTGCGACGAGCCGGCATGCGAGCATCGCGTGCAATGAACGCCATCATGCCTATGCGTCGACAACTAGCTTGATTTACTAGAGGGCCGATCAACTGATCAAATGACCCAAGGTGCTATCACATTTTTCTTTACTCGAGTAGAAGACTCACGAATGGTTTTTTGCGATGTTGGAGTAGGTTAGGCGCTTTGAAACTTTAACGGAGGTTTAGTCTTTAAAAGACGTCCTCGGTGTGTGTGAGGAGGAAAAGATGTGGTTGAAGCCTCTGGTCATATTCGACCTTCAAAACGGAAAACAGAGGCGCTTGAAATTGTTTTTACTCGAGATGATGACTATGAGGCGGCATGTTCTATTGAGCGTCCGTGCCCTTCGTAGCAACTATCTCACCGACCAATTGACCCAATACGGTACTACCTTAATTACGATAAGCACGTTCCAACTTACTCGGCTTTTGATGAACAGCTTGTTCGACTATAGCCCTTTCCGATTTATGAAAATGTCAATTATGTAAGGCATGTATTGAAACAACCCTAAAGTTAACCTAAACGGTTGTTTATCAACGTATGCAACAATGCTGCTTGTTGGCTGTGTTGATGCCATCCCCTTCGCAGCTGTTCTTATTCAGTATACATAACTCCACCCGGCTTAAGACGAACTTCCCACCTGGTAACCAAGTCGGAATGCTTGGCTGACTGATCATCCACCTCCTCAACCAACATTTTTGACCCTTTGAAGGAGAATGTGCGGAAACACGTGGGCACTACAACTTTACGATCAGGCCGAGGATTAGTTGAGAGGAGTTGGCTTAAGCAGAGCAAAGGTGTTGACATTCAATACTTGGTGATCATAATGGCCATTGTTTTGAGGATCGCTTTGTTAATCTTGTTTTCAACAATAAAATCCCACTGAATTCTTCCTGTATCAGGTTTACTGGCGCAGCTACAATACTATAAGTGAGTAACCTAATTGGTCAGCCAAAGTCTCGAAATATGTTGTCACTCCACATTTTTGTCGACTGATGAGAATACTTTCATCAAAAAGCATCATCTATAACCCTTCTTCATAAGTGTGAACTACTGCTCGAAGGTTAAGTTTTGCTGTGGCTTATATCGGGATGAAAAGAGAACATGATACCTCGTTCTGATAGCACGAACAGATCATAGCGACTTTCGCACTCCTTTTCTATCACTGTGAATGTCTTTTTTCTCGACCTACTCCACTATCACATCTTATCGTGGAGACATACTAGAGTGTGTCAAGGCTACACTGTAGGTACAAAATATACAAAAACCTCTATATACTTTATTTTTTACATGTAAGAGTACAGGGCGTAGGTGGTGTAGTGGTAAGTGGTGCACTATCACACAAGCACAATCACGGGTTCAAATCCTCGATCGATACCCGCCCGGGCCAATCAAGCATTGCATAAC